GAAGACGCCTGACGACCTGAATAGATCCCGCCCCTCCACGAGAACAGTCACCAACGTGGGCATACGGGGTGCAGCAACAGGGCGGCGGGGGTCAGTGTCGGGGTCGTCGCGGCCAACGGGACGTGCCAACACGGAGGAGGGGGAGGAGGAGGAGGAGGAGGAGGAGGAGGAGGAAGGAGGAGGAAGAGGACTTGAAGTGGTATGGCTTACGGGGCGCCCTCGGGCCTGCGGCCATCTCCACCCCAGGGTTTACAGCAGTCCTCAGCAGGCCTCCCTAGGCGTGACAGGAAGAATTGGACCTCCCCAGAGTCCAACAACTTCTCGCTGGATCGAGGGGAAACGCGTGTCAGACCTAAGCGTCCAATGTAATTTGCTGTGCTGTCTTTTGTGGACTGCCGTCCACCGCTGCGCTTCCTGCTGGATTGTCGCTGCATCTCGTAGTGATCATGGTCTCTGGCATCCTCGGTTTGACAACGGCTAGTTGCAACGCCCCAGCGGCTGTGAACGGCGGCGCCTGCGATTGAAGTTACGCAGCCTCTTATTTCAACGCGGCGCTGATGTCGTTGGCGTCTTCAGCATTCCACGACTGCTTGTCGTGAGTCTTCGCACACAGCACCGCCGTCGTCAGAATAGTCGGCATGACGATTCCAAAATGTACCTCTCGAAGTCCTCGTGAACGTGCTTGGGAGCGGAAAATTCACACGATTACTTTGAAGGAGCTCTTTGCTAAAGGAAACAAGCCTTTTAGTAATGTGCTTTGCTCTGTTCCGCGACAGCCGCGGCGGCGCGTCCGACTTGCCGAGCCACGTCCTGCGCTCGCGTCCTTAATCTTTTGTCGAGGAGCATCGACAAGTCGCTGAAAACATGTCCAAAGGACGCCACACTGTGTGGCGCACCTGGCACCAGAAACACAGTCGGTGGGAACCAATTGGGGGGGGGAAAGCAAAGGGTAGGGTCGAGAATCAGCTCACCTAGCTGACTTTTCCGGCGCCTCCCGGCGCCGGGAGGCGCCCAAGCATCGAGGAATGGGCCCGGCAGCGGAGCCGAAACCAGCTGTATGCAGCAGATTTCGTAACTACCCTTTTCCCATCCCTCCTTTCCCAATCCCCCCCCTTTCCCTATCCCCCCTTTCCCTCTCCCCCCCTTTCCCTATCCCCCCTTTCCCTATCCCCCACTTTCCCTAACCCCACCCCTTTCGCTATCCTCCCCTTTCTGCATGCAGCAGATCCCGTGACACCCCCCCTTTCCCCGTCCCCCCCCTCTCGCTCGGCCCGACCCTTTCGGGGGGAACACATGGCCCGCATGCCCGGCCCGTGCCCGGCGGTGAGGGGGGCGTGGCCGGGCGACCCGCGGGAGGGCCCACGCACGGCCGCCGCCCCGCGAGCGAGCGTCCCGAGAGGGAGCCCCGGCGCGCCCGACGGCGAGGCGCCCCGCCGACGTCGCGTCGCCGCGCCGGCGCAAATGCCCACTTTTTTTGATTCGCGGGTCGAGAGCGCACCTCTTCTGGTCGAAGCTAAGCGGGCCGCGCGAAGCTTGAATTAACAAAGAGGGGGGGACAGAAGGAGCGCGGCCTCACGGCAAGGCCGGGAGGAGGCAACGCCTCGAGATCAGGCGGTGCCGAAAACGACGTGCAAAAATCGCAGATGCCAACACCCATGCTCGAGGGGGCAGGGGAGCCCCCAAAAGAATCGCATCGAGAGGTCGGATATCGGCACTCGAGATGGATCGGGGCGGCAGGAATCGGCAGCGGAGTCGGGAGAGATCGACTCGGCGGAAATCGGCAGGCCAGACTGCCTCCAATAAAAAAACGGACCCGGGATCGGAATCCCAATGCGATTCGTATCGGAATCGGAGGCTATCGAAATCGAACCGAATCGAATCGGAGAAGTCGAAATGAGCCCTGGGACTCTGACAGCTGCCCAGCAAGACGGCCGCGGATGGCGACCGAAAACAATGGGGCAAAACCATCGGCATCATACCTGGGGAAAAACTGGGAAGTACCAATACTGCCACTCTCCAGACCTCGCCTTGAGTGCGCTCTGACCAGGATTTCGAAGCGCATCCGGCGGCGGCGGCGAGGGCCTCCCAGGAGGCCCCACGAGGGGAAAACGAAGGACAGGTAGAGGTAAAAGCACCTTTGTGGAGGAACAACAAATCACATACTCATAAACTTCTGGAGGTCCGCGCGGATTTCTTGGATCCGCGCCGGACCCTCCTCCCCGGCGCGCGGAGCGCGCAAGTGGCGGCGCCGGAGGCGCCGCCAGGAGGGCCCAGCGCCGATCCAAGAAATCCGCGCGGGGCGCAAAAAGTTTATATTTATGCCGTCTTGTCTTCTTCGACTTTCCCTCCTCTGAAGACCATTTACGCGGGCGAGCATTCCCCTGCGAGGAAAGCGGGACGACCTGCGCAGGAAAGGGGGTATTCCGAGGCGAATCCAGCGGTGGCGGCGAGGGCCTCCCAGGGGGCCCCAAAAGGGGACAACGAGGGAAAGGCAGAGACGTAAGGGTATTCGTCGTTCATTTCTGACCGTGCTCATTTATAATTGTGCTCGTTTCTGATTGTTCCTGGCCCCCTGGTGGCCAGGCAGAGGCCCAGGACAGAAGAATCAGAGATGAAAGGATCTCGGCCCCCCAGAAAATCAAAGAACCCTCGAAGAATTCGAAATGAACAGTGTCGGCGGTGGACGAACCTCCCTTTAGCAAACCTCCCTTTAGTGAAAACGGCCTAGGACCGAAACCGACGGACCTGGACCCGCAAACATGACGGCCGCGACGCCCTCTCGCGAACCGAAAACGGCCCATTCCTTAATCGACGTGTCAGGGTAGGAGGTCTGTCAACCCCCGGCACTGTGTACCTCTCCCTCCTCGGAGTGCGGTCTGCGCGGGCGAGCCTTCCCCTGCGAGGCAGGAGCGGGGCCGGCGCACGACAAGGGGGGGCCGGGCAGCGACGCACCGAGCGAGGGGCGGCGAGGGGGCACCGAGCGCGAGCGCGCGCTGGGCGACAGGACGGGGCAGAGGAGGGCGTCGCAGGGACGCGGACCACGGGCACGAGGGGAGACACCACCCAGCGGACGTTCGGCGGTGAGCGAGGGGGGGGGGACGTGAGAAGAAGAAGAAGAAGGCCTTCTATGAAGGCTCGGGAATTCCCCGGCCGTCCGAGCAGCGCTCGAAGCCTTCCCCAGAGGACAAGCCAAAACGTCTCGGAAGGCCGCCAGAGCGCTCCTGAGAAGCCCAGCTGGCTTCTGAGAAGGCCTTCTCCTTCTCGTTCAACCCCCTCTCTCGCCTCCGAGATATGGGCGGACGATCGGGCACAGCACGAGGCGACGAGGACTTGACGGGCAACGAGCATGCTAGAAGCCGGCAAGACAGGCGCACGGGAACGGCGACAGGGACGACGAAGAACGGCAAGGAGGCCACCCTCGAGGGGCATCCGGAGACAACCGAAGGAACAAGGGATCAGAGGGACCGAACAACCCAAACATCGCAAGGGGCCAACTAAGCAGAGAGACCGGCAGGAACGACGAACCAAAGGACCGAGCGTCAAGAAGGAACGCAGCTGGGCAACCGAGGTGCCCTTGGGACAATCCTGGCGCCGCTAGAGGCCTCCTAGGTGGGGTCCGAGTAGATGGGGTCGGAGGATCGCGCCGCATCGCCGATACATCGGCGACGCATCGGCGACGCATCGGCGACATCGACGTGGGGAAACACAGTCTCCGCATCGAGCTGCATCGTCGATGTATCGGCGATGCGGCGCGATCCTCCGACCCCATCTGCTCCGACTCCGTGAAGGAGGCCTAGAGGCACCGCGCTCAGACGTGAAACGCGTCCGCTGGGGGGGAGCGCATCCCTGCGCACCGCACGGGTACACGCCGGTCGGAAGAGGTAGGTAGAAACATGAAGTAGTAAGGCGGATCAAGTAGGTTGGGCTCGGGCCCGTCCAAAGAATAACACACAACAGCCAGATCAGATCTACTCTTGAAATAGAGAGGCGCTTGAAGCAGACTGGGTCCTGGGGGCCCAGGAACACCTACTTTCAACGACCGCTGGGTACACGTGCGGAAGGTGTGTGCGACGCCTCGCGCGCGCGCGCTCCATCGGGGCGCGGTGGCCCGCTGTCCGCCCACACCGCGAGCGCACAGCGCCCCGCGCACCGGGGGGCTCACGCTGCACGCCCTCCCCCCGGCGGCTGCGCGTGCCTCGCGCAGGCCCGGCAGATGGCAAACCCGCATGGTAGTGATGCAGCCGAGCAAGCTTTTTACAGTGGTCGATCAAAGGAGGGGGCGAGGAAGAAGCGGAGATGGCATGCTGCAGGGCGGGGGAGGCGGAGGCGGAAAGTATCGGAGGGGCACCAGACCTCAAGCAATCAGGTGTGTTCCATGCGTGGGGCTTTCGGAACTGTGGGTGCCGATTTCGCCACCCGTCTTCGCACCGTATGTTCTCTATGTCTCAGGGCCCCCCAAAAGGGCTTCCGTTCTGGGAAAGACGGTCTGCCTGGCTGCAATCTGGTCGTATTGGGCTCGACGCGGGGCCGTTAACAGTCACTGGCTACGAGATAGGTGCTGCTGCCCCTATTATGAGCTGATGAGTTGGTGAGGGGGGAGGAGAGGAGAATATGACGAGGAGGGAGGAGCAGGAGCAGGAGAGAAGAAGAGGGAGGAGCAGGAGGAGGCAACGCAAAGCAAAGAGCTGTCGGACAAATTCTCCCTGAGCTACGAGACGGAATACAAGCTTGGATCTAAGTGGCTATGCAAGCGACTTCCCACTGCGAGGGGAGCCCTGTAGGCGGCAGGAGGAGGGAGGAGGACGGGGGGGGGGAGGGAGGAGGGAGGGAGCATGGAGGGAGGGAGAAGGGAGAAGGAGGGAGGGAGCAGGGAGGGGGGGAGGTAGGGAGAGAGGAGGGAGGAGGAAGGAGGGATTATGGCATCCTGATTTTGTTCGGCCGAGCGCGATGCGCCGCGTCCCCGAGAGGGCCGGCAAGGGCTCCGGCTCCTGCACCCAAGCTCAGCGCCGCACGGTCAGCCGCACAGCGCCGCCCTCTCGTCCGAGACCGTGGAGGAGGACGCGAACTACAGTCAACCCGTGTCATGAGGATGCGCGGTGGGGGATGCAAGGACCTTGGAGGCCCAGGCTGACGCTTTTTCGAGCGAGGCTGGCCAGGCAAAGTCGATGAGGAGGGGCCGAAGGGGGCAAGGACGCAGAGGAGGGGCCCGTGGGGGAAGGTTTCCCATCCTTCCCATGCGGGTTGACTGTATCCACCTGCGCCATTCCTGGCCAGGCCTGGGTCGGGCCTGTCCCCCTACGGGCGGACGGGCGGATTGTGAGCGAAAATTAAGGATAATCGAGACATGCCCCAAATATACTGGAAGATACGCGCAAGAAAATAGTCCCCCGACGACATATAAAAACGAACCATCTTTGAATTTTCTATTCCTCCCTAGGGACCGGCCCGACTCGTAAGGCCAGGCACGCAGGTCTGCACCAGGCCCGGCCAGGCTCGGTGGCGGTGGGGCTCGTCGGAGGTCCGAGGCCCGTGCCTCGACGGCGCCGCCGAGGGCGGGGGGGCCCCCCGGCGGAGTGCGGCGGTGCCGGCCGTGGTGGTGACGGCGGGCCGCCCACGAGGGGCGAGCAGGAAGGGGTTCCGTGTCTGCAGGGGCCCCGGGGCACACAGAGGAACAGACACAGGGAGCAGGATTCCCAGGCTTTTCAGGATTCCCAGTCTTTTCCCGTACTTTCTGGGTTTCTGTCTTCCCCCACGCTGCCCACATTTTCCACATCTTCGGGGGAATCGACGATTCATGGTGTCCGTGTGTTTTTTCCCTCCCGAAGGTCAGCGTGGCCGACACAGTTTCTGACTTTGGCCCGCACGCACGCCAAGTCGATGAGGACCTCGGGCTCCACTCGGCGGCGAGCGAGGGGGGGAGGTGAGCAAGAGAAGGCCTTCTCAGAAGGCGCCTGGGCTTCTCAGAAGCGCTCTCGCCTTCCGAGAAGCTTCCTGCGTCTGCGGGGAAGGCCTCGAACACTTCTCAGAGGGCCGGGGGACTTCCAAGCCTTCTGAGAAGGCCCGCCCCCTCTCACTCCCCCCGGGCTCGCCGCCAAGCCACAAGCACAGATTTACAGCGCAGCGCCTGTACTTTCAGGCTCTGCCGTTGGCCCGAGTACACATACAGTGGAGGCCCGACCACAAGAAACCTCCTACAAGAAACCAAACCCTGAGGTACCAGGACGTCCATGGTTTTGGTGTGGGAACGTCGCGCTTCCCGTCGCAAAACCATCGACACCCAAGACACCCGGGGCACCCTGGAGGCAAGCAGGGTGTCTCTTGGCATGGGCCTCCACTGCACCGCCGCCACCGAGGGTGGCGGCCACCCCCCCTCGGTGGAGGAGGCCCCCGATCTCGGCGGCGGTGCCAGCGTAGGGGCCTCCGACGGCCCCGACATCCGACGTCGTGAAAAATCACGCCCTTCACGCTGGGCCATTCGAGCCAGGACAGCCACTGGGGGGTGGAGGGGCGGGGCGGGGCCCCAACTGGCATGGAGGACAGGGAACGCGCCCCAGATCCCAGGGGCTTCTTTCCCCCAGACCAGTTCTTCCTCACGAGCCGAGTCGTTGTCTTCTGACGGCCCATGGGTTCCGGGAATAGGCCACGAGAGCCCGAGAACGGCGGACTCCCCCAGGCCCCCTCCCACTCAGGACCCCGTAGCTCCTGGTGGCACAGACGGGGCGAAAAGGCCCGCCTTGATTTTCACACGACGCGCCAGATGCCAGGGTAAGAGGAGGAGGAGGAGGAGGGGGAGGGGAGGGAGCGCCCAGTGGAGGTGCCCAACTCAGGCTTGGCCGTTCTGCTCGGCCCTCGGCCCTCTTCCAGGACTTGCGCGGAGAGGGGCACGAAGTCCAACCATATCCATCCTGGGGCGCGCACGCACACGCAAACACGCATACACACAACCACGCACGCACTCTCACGCACACTCACGCACGCACGCACGCACGCACGCACGCACACACGCGCACGCGCACGCGCACGCGCACGCACACGCACACGCACACGCACACGCACACGCACACGCACACGCACACGCACGCACACACACACGCACACACACACACACACACGCGCACACACACAGACACACACACACAGACACACACGCACGCACGCACGCACACACAGACAAACACAGACACACACAGACACACACAGACACACACACACAGACACACACAGACACACACACAGACACACACACAGACACACACAGACACACACACACACACAGACACACACACACAGACACACAGACACACGCACATACAGACGCTCTCTCTCTCTCTCTCACACATGGTCCTACTCCTCGTTCCTACTGGCCTTCTGTCACGCTCCCTTTCCTCCTCCTCCTCCTCCTCCTCCTGCTGATCCCCCCCTCATTGCTCCTGCGTCCTTCCTCCTCCTCCTCCTCCTCCACTTCCTGATTCCTGATTGCTCAATCAACTGATTCCCCCTGCCTGACGCTTTCCTCCCCCTCCTCTGGCATGCTCCATTTCTCCTCCGACCCTCCTGGGATGCAGCACGTGCACCGTGCGACAGCCGTCTCGTCTCGTTGTTGTCTGCCAGCTTGAACGTAGTGGGCCTCCAGGAAGGACAATGAGGAGGCGAAGAGCGAGGATGAGAATGAGGAGCGATGGTAAGAAGAGGAGGAGGGGGTTAAAAAGGAGGAAAGACGGAACGATGAGGACGACTCTGAAGCGAGCAAGAGGGGGGCATGGTTAGTGTGTGTGTGTGTATGTGTGTGTGTGCGCGTGCGTGTGGGTGGGGTGGGGGCAAGTGGCAATCTTCTAAGAAAATCACTCCGCAACTTCAAACGTGCGAGAAACACTACCTTTCTTTCCTATTCCCAAAACGATGCAATATGTCCCCTTTTGATAGCCGGCTCAGGGGCGAGAAACCGTGTGAGATCCCTCATTCAAACCAATCGCTGACGCATCTTCGAATACTATCCAGTGCCCTGTTTGGACGGCTTCCACAATAGTTGCTGCTGTGAACCACCTCAGGCAAACTTGGCCCGACCGCAAAACAACGAATGATACGTGCAGGTCCTTAATTATTGGAAAAAACCAGGTCGGGCAAGAACGGGAAACGACGATTTTGGCCTATGGGATCGTATTAGGAAAGAAAGACAGGATGACGGCGACGACACGGCGGCGGATGTCGAGGACGACAGTGTGGATGACGGGGAGATCAGCGAGGGAAGCAGGAGGACACTGAGTAGGACAAACAAACGCGAGGACGAGGAGGAGGAGGAGGAGGAGGAGGAGGAGGAGGAGGAGGAGAAAAACAAAAAGGACCACGACGACGAAGGAGGACGGTAAGGGACCCGACGAAAAGGACGTCGAAGATGGGGGGAATCCTTGCGATCATTCGAGATACCCAGGATGCTGTTGGGACATCCTGGGGGCCTCTCGGGGTCCTCTCGGGAGCTACTGCTGGGGTTCTTGTTGGGCTGCCTGGGCGTGGCTTGGGATTCTTTGGGGTCTCTCCCAGGCCGTCTTGGCGCCATCTTGGGGGTCCTGGGCCGTCTGGGGGCCGCCTGGGGGCTCTCTTGGGGGCCTTTTGGGGCCGTCAGTGGGTCTTCCGGGGGGGCATTCTGGAGCTCGTTTGGGCCATGGTGGGCCCCCCCAAGAGCGATTCCAAGACGGCGTTGGCTCAGAGACCCGTCTGAAGCCATTTGTGTCCGATGCCCCGGGCGACACGGCCATCTTTCAGAAACCTGGCCGGGGGCAAGAACGGGAAGCGTCGCACTCGTCCGCGAATCTTGTCAGAGAATCGGAAGAAACGCACGAACGACCAACATAACTGCTGTCGGTTCATTGCGTTGGTTTGCCGTGCTCCTGTGGTCTACCGTGCTCCTGTGGTCTGGCGTGCTGGTCTGCCATGCTGCCGTGATCTGCCGTGCTGGTCTGTCGTGCTCCTGTGGCCTGCCGTGCTGGTCTGCCATGTTCCTGTTGCTTGCCCCATGTTCTTGTGGTTTGCTGGGCTGCTGTGGACTGCCGTGCTGGTCTGCCGTGCTGATGTGGTCTGCTGTGCTGGCCTGCCGTCCTGTTGTGGTCTGCCGTTCTGCCTGGAGAAAAAAAGAAAGAAAGGCGGGCCCCTGTGGGCCGCGCCCCAGGTGCGGTCTGCCGTGCTGGCCTGCCGTGCTGCTGTGATCTGCCACGCTGAAATGGAACGGGATGGAATACGGCGAACGAGATAGAGAGAGAGAGAGAGCGAGAGAGAAAGAGAGGGAGCGAGAGCGAGCGAGATAGAGCACGTTAGCTTTCCAAGCCGCACCTCTCTTTGGGGTCAGCGCCTTGCTGCGCTCCCCAGGGCCTTCGGGGGCAGCCCGCCTGCCTTGAGGGTCTGCGCCCTCGTCACCTTCCGGGCCCATGGTGGCCACCCGAAGCCTTGCACGAAGGCAACAGGTTGATCCCCTTCTCGCTCCTCGTGCCCAGCTCAGCCTCCTCCACCTCGGCATTTGCTTCGCACATGATTCTCCTCCGCCCCCCGCCTCTCCCTGACCTCGTCCACGCCCACGTTCTCCTCGTTCTCCCGATCCTCCTCCTCCTCCTCCTCCTCCACCTCCTCCTCCTCCTCCTCGCCCGTCCTACCCTTTCCTCCTCCTGCACCCTCTTCCTCCTCCTCCTCCTCCTCCTCCTCCTGCCCCTTTGCCTACACCTCCGCCGCCTCCACCTCTTCACTGGATCCTCCTCATGCTCCTCTTCCTCACTGGCTTCCCCTCCTCCTCCTGCTCCTCCTCCTGCTCCTGCTCCTGCTCCTGCTCCTGCTCCTGCTCCTGCTCCTCCTCCTGCTCCTCCTCCTCCTCCTCTTCCTGTTCCTCCTCCTCCTCCTCCTCATCCTCCTGTTCCTCCCAGGATATCCCTCTCCTCCTTCCCCTATTCCTCCTCCCTGTTCCTTGCTGTCTCCCTCCCCCTCCCTCAACCTGTTCCTCCTCGCTTGCTCCTCTGCCTACGTACTCCTCCTCCTCCTCCTTCTCCTCCTTCTCCTCCTCCTCCTTCTCCTCCTCCTTCCCTTTCTTTTACTCCTTCTCCTCCTCCTCCTCCTCCTCCTCTTCCTTCTCGTCCTTCTCCTCCTCCACCTTGTATCCCCATGTTCCTTCCCCTCCCTCCACTTCCCTATCCTTCACCTCCGCCTCCCGTTCCTCCCTCCTCCCTGCCCGTGCCCCCACCAGCGAGAGGAGCGCATGTGGGCCTCGACCGACCAGCTGGCGCTTGCCAGCGCCCGCGATAGCGGGGCGGCCAGGCGGCAGCTCACCTCGCCCATGCTTCCCTCTCGTCATCGTCGTCGCCGTCGCCCCCCCTCATCCTTCGCCTCTTCCTCCTCACCTCTCACCCTCTCTCGCAGAATGGCCTCGCGTCAAACATGGCCCCCATCTGCACTCACTCGATCTGCGTACTACTCTCCTCTCAACCCCGAAGGCGTCCAATGGGCCACGCGCTCTCTCCGTACATGCGCGCTTCGCGGAATGGCCACTCCGCGAAGCGCGCATGTACGGAGAGGGCACAGCGAAGGCAACAGCGCTTCCCACTCCCCCTTATGTACTCCTCCTCGATCTTCACCCGCTGCCCTCCCCCCTCCTCTTCTCATCGTCTCCCCCTCTCCTCCTCTCCTCCGTCTCCTCCGTCTCCTCTTCTCCTCCTCCTCCTCCTCCTCCTCACCTCCTTCCCCCTCCTTTCTCATCCTCCCTCAGTATTCCTCTTCCCTCCTCCTCCTCCTCCTCCTCCTCCTCCTCCTCCTCCTCCTCCTCCTCCTCCCTCTTGCCCCCTTGTCCTCATCCTCCCTTCCCTCGGTCCTTCCTCCTCTGATTCCTTCTCCTGCTCCTCCTCCACTCTTTTCCATCCCCCTCCCCCTCCTCATTCATCTCACATCTGCGCCCCTGTCTGCTTCTCCTCCTCCTCAGTCCTCGTCCTCCTCCGCCTCCTCCTCCCTCCGCCTCCTCCGCCTCCTCCTCCTCCTCCTCCTCCTCCTCCGCCCCCCCCGCCCTCCACCTCCTCCTCCTCCTCCTCCTCGTTCTCCTCCTCCTCCTCCTCGTTCTCCTCCTCCTCCTCCTCCTCCTCCTCGCCTCCTCCTCCTACCCCCTCTCCTCCACTCCCCATCTGTCTTCCGTGAGCCTCTCTCTCCTCTCCTCCTGGAGCGCCTCGCCCCTGAGCCTCGGGACCACCGCGTGCGTGAAGTAGCACGAGAACACGACGTAAGCGAGCCCGACGATGTTGAGCGCCACGATGATGGAGTACACCATCCCTTCCTTTCCCGCATCTCCTGGGCCGCCGGATCTCAGAGACTCCCGATCTATCCTCGCCCGAATGTGCCCTCGTCCGGGCCTCGTCTCAGGGATGGGCACCGGCACAGAGGCGCCGCCCGCCGAGCAGGCGGCGGAGAGCCCGCCGTGAGCTGGGGCCGTGGGCCGGGGGGACAATACGCTTGAGGGGAGGGACGACGGAATTCACAGGAAGTTCTGGAGGTCCCAGAAACGGACTTAACACAAAACTTCGGAATTAGAGGAAGGACAACGGAATTAACAGAAAAACAATAATTAACGGAAAGCGGATTTGATGGGTCTGAGCCGTGCCCCCCCCCCCTCCCAGGCGCGCGGAGCGCGCCAGGGGCGGCGCCGCCGGGCGGGCCCAGCGCGGATCCGAGAAACCCGCGCGGAGCGCCAAAAGTATATGTTTATGGCATCTTGTCTTCTTCGACGTTTCCCGAGTCTCCTGAGTCTGGACACAATTCACGCAAGGGTGACGCTCTGCACGTGCCGGCTGCTGGCCCCCCAGCGAGCATCGCGAGGGCGGCGGCGGCGAAGCACAGCGCTGTGGCAAGGGAGATGCCCTGGTAGCTGTTCCAGGCCGCCACGAGGCAGCTGCCGTCGCGGTACTCGTACCAATCCTGCGCTGCCGCCTCCAAGGCCTGGGTGGGGACTGCCGTCCTATCGTGAAAAGCCTAACGACTTCTGCCGTCCTTCGACTCGCGCCAGAGCGGCCGGAATTTGCTCCAACTGTCCCTGAAGGTCCATGGATTTACCTGGATCTCCCCGGATCTACCTGGATTTACCTCGAAGTATCTGCATCTGCTTGGGTTTACCTGCATTTGCCCCCGGATTCAGCTGGCTCGATCCCCACAAAGTCGATGGGTGGAAAGTCGTCGAGCGCTTCGGCATCCTGGGCCACTGCGCGTGCTCGCCGCGGCTCATCGGCACGTCCACGTGCACGCGGCCCAGGGGCAGGTGCGCAGTCACGGCTGGGCCCATGCCGCCAACACGCGCAGCCGAGCGCGCTGTCGCAGACGAGACGCTGCGAGCCCAAATCGCTGTATCCTTGATAACTGGATGGCCACGAGGGCTCATCATCATCATCATCATCATCATCATCATCAGCAGCAGCAGCAGCATCAGCAGCAGCATCAGCATCAACATCATCATCATCATCAACATCATCACCATCACCATCACCATCACCATCACCATCACCATCATCATCATCATCATCAGCATCAGCATCATCATCATCATCATCATCACCATCACCACCGTCATAATCATCATTACCATCATCAACATCATCATCATCACCATTATCATCAACATCATCATCAACAAAGGGAATGGTGGATCATGCTCACAGCCAAATATGATGATGACGGCTCTCGCGAAGCCAGGCCCTCAGGCGAAGAATCTTACAGTCCTTGCTGTCAGGCGTCCGCGTTGCCCAAAGCCGTTCCTCTTTTCCTCCTCCTGCTGCTGCTGCTCCTCATCCTGCCCTGGGGCTTCGGTCAGACGGGGTTTCGTACCGAATGCGTGTTCTCTGAGTAACCTGAACACATTAGTTGTAGATGGGGACAGAAAGGTTTGGCTGTGCCATGGTAGGTCTGAGAGCCAGTACCTGCACACAACCACAAGCCCTTGCCAGGCGCGTACTGTGCCTCGGACTGGTGTGCGGCAAGGTACTGCATTCACAGTGTAGGCTTAGATCAGGCGTGTCATCCTACAGGCAGATGTTGAAGGAGAAATGACAATACTCGAAAATCGTCCTCAGACTATCTTTACTATGTTTGAATATTCCCCCTGTAGAGGGACACGCCCGACTTAGGCGTAGACTGTGGATTCTGTCTCTACACGTCTTGGGGCTCCGACTGTTCGAAACCAACGCACGCGGGATGCAGTGGCGCGTGCAGCATTGTCATGAAGCCGACCGTGGACAATTAACACAGGACGTGTGGACCCACAACGGGACAGCGAGGAGTTGGGCAGGCGCCGAGACGAGAGCGGCACCCGGATGGGCCCGAGCGACCTGCTGGAAAAGACACGCGGACGGCGTAGAAAGCTATGCGTGGGAGTGGCCTGTTGCCAAAGTCTCCCCACGCCCAAGGCGGCCCCGAGAGGCCCCCGAGAGGGCCCCCAGGACTGGCCAACGGAGGGCCCGCAAGACGGACCGAGCGGTCCTCAAAGTTGGCCCCCCGAAGTGCCCCGAGAGCCCCCCGAGCCCCCCTCGGAGCGGCCCGCAGACGGCCTCCTCCGAGGGCGCCCCATGAGCCAACGACGGCCCCGAGAGGCCTCCATTGCGAGGCCAGGAGGCCGCAGGAGGACCCAGGAGGCCAGGAGGGCCTCAGGAGGGCCCCAGGATGCCCCCTGTAAGTCTCCTCCTGCTTCTCGTCTCGGTCTTCCTCCTCATCCCACTCCCGCTGCTCCTCCGCTCCTCCTCTCCAACTTCCTCCCCAAAATGTTGCCCCAAGGTTATCCTCAACGCCTGCGGGAACACGTGCTCTCACAACTTGACAAGACTTTGGCCCAACGCTTTGCCACACAAGTGTTTCGAGAAGAGCAGCGGCGCTGATTCACTGTAGGAGTCTTCGATCCGCCCTGCCCTGTGATTGCTACAAGGGTGCTTGGCGCGCCAAGTTCCACACAATATCCTCTGGACATTCCAGACACAATGTTCCTGGTGCTCTTCTGCCCGATCCGATGGTCACCCAGATTCCCCACAAAGGATGGTGTTTAACGGCTGTTCCGTCGAAGATGGTTCCAAGAGAGCCTCCGAGAGGGCTCTGAGCGCCACAAAGTCGGCCAAAAATGGCCCAAGTGGTTTCACCGATTGAGAAATCTAGCTCCAGGAGGGCCGACTGTGCCTACAAGACGACCCAGCATTGCCTTCAGAGGCCCCCGGGGAGGGCCTCAAGGGCAACACGAACAGTGATTTTCTGCGTTGTCGCCTGCTCGGGCCTCTGTAAGCCCAGACAGGGTCCAACATACAGTCGGGCCGCTGACCCAAGGAACGATGAATAAGGAACGAAGACCCTTTTTTTCCAAATCAATCCATGAAATCCGAAGGAACACCGGGTGGGCTCGCCGCTAAAAAAAACGGAACTCACGCAAACCTAAGGAACGACGGAGCCCTTTTTGAAAAGTAAGTGTTCCTTATTCTGCGGCCCGACTGTAATCCCGATCTTGCCCAAAGACGGCACGAGGAGGCCTCAAAGATGGCCTCCGAAGGCGCCCCTCGCCAGTGCTCCGCGGATGGTCTCCCCCCCCCCCGGCAGGAGGAGCATGCGATCTACTGCTGCAGCCACACGTTCACTCGACGCGCCACGGCACACGCGCTTCCCAGACGCAGAGGGCGGTGGCGCCTCACAGCGGGCGCCCTCGGTAATTATGGAGAGGAGGGCAAGCAGGAGTAATAAAGAGGAGGAGGGACGGAGAGGGCAAGCAGAACGAAAGCTGAAGAGAAGGAGGGATGAAGAGGAAGAGAGATGAAGAGGAGGAAGAGGAGGCGGAGGAGGAGGAGGAGGATGAGGAGTTGAGGTGATGAAGAGGATGAGGGCAAGCAGAGGGAGTAATGAAGAGTAGAAGGGCGGCAGAAGGACGGCAGGAAGATGAGCGCAGGGATGAGAGGGGGCAGGAGGGAAGAGAAACAGGAAGGCGAGGAGGCAAAGGGAGCAGGAGGACGAGGGTAGGACAGGGTGGGGGGGGGATAACGAGGATGCGGCCTGAAAGGAGTATCGCGAGGGGCAGAAAGAAAAAAAAACAGCAGAGGGCGGAGTAGAAGGAGATGGTCAGGAGGACGATATTGACCAGGAGAAGCGGGAGCAGGAGGACAAGAAAACTCATCCAATACAGACGGGAAGAAGAGAAAGGCGACGAAGACGACGATGACGAAGTTGACGACCTCGACACCGACAACGAATGATGTCGACGAGAGACAGCAGGAAACAGAGAGACAGGATCCCGAGCCTTCTGCAATGCTGGCTCGAGAGCTGCCAGGTGCTCTTGCCCCGAAGCCGTGCCCTCGTCCCAGGCGCCTTCCCTGGCGGGGACGACGACGGCAACGACTACGGTGACGACGTCGAAGAGGGGGAGGGAGGAGGGGTGGAGGAATGAGAAAGGAGGAAGAGGGGAACAGTAATGGGGGAGGGAACGAGGGAGGCAGGAAGGAGGGAGGGGGGGGGAACGAGAAGCTGGGTGCACTCGCGCCACACCTGACGTCCTACCCCTCCCTGAATCCCTGTTCGCAAAATTGAATGTCGGGACAATATGTGATACGCACGGTCTTTTCCGACCCCCGACTTTACACACGCAAAGGTATGGCACGCAGTAGCCACCCCTGGGGCGGCACAGCACACATGCGGAAGCAAGTGGCGGTCAACGCCGCGGCCAGAGCACTGTTCCGTTGAACGGGAGCTCCATGGAAATCACTGTGGCACTTGCTGCATGGAGGGTGCGCCGTTTTTACGGATGCATGGCTACGGTCGGCGCTGCGGCGAGAGCACCGCTCCATCGGACATCAACGTAACTGCACACGTGTGAAACCCCCACAGCGGGATCCTCACTCTCACCGCCCCGGGATCACGATCCCCGCTTGACGGCGGCCCCCTGGTGAGCGTGAGATGCGATCGCCGCACCAGCAGGGGCAACACTGCTCAAATGCAACATTAGGTCGGGTGTGTCCCCCTACAGGCGGATTTTGGACGACAAATACAAACAGTCGTACGATATATATATATATATATATAATATATATATATATATATATATATATTTGTAAGGAAAATTTGCCAACAAAAATACTGAAACATCGTTTCCAGACCATTTTTGACTATTATTTTGAACACTCCTCCTGTAGAGGGACGGGCCCGACTCAAGTGCAACAGCGCACCTCCTGATAAACGTGCCCCTTCCTTTGAGCAGGGACCGACCGTCCCGGCATTTCTATAGTCCTACCACGAAGCGTTCTTAGAACCCAAAGATGTTCTAATAACAAAACCAATGTTCTTAGAACATTAACCGGTGTGATAAAACAAGACAGTCCCAACCAGAAAGTGTCTAAGAACATTTCGTGGGAACCACAAAAGGTTCTTAGAACATTGTTTGGTAGGACTATAGGTACGCCAGGACGCGTCGCTACTGCTTGATAGGTCGGGCGTGTCCCCCTACAGGTTGTCAGACTGTTTCTGAATAGTCCTCCTGTAGAGGGACAGGCCCCGCTCAAGCCTACCACGCGCTGCAGATTTACGCAGGCGTGCTGCAGAGCGCGAGTACGACCCTCGTCTGCCGAGGCGACTGTGCAGCCCGGCCGCGGCCCCGCTCCGAGGGAGGGCGGGCTCGGCGGCCCTGGGCCGCCCCCTGCGGACGTGATCAGGGAGGAGGGTGGCCGCAGGCAGGGCGCCGTGAGGAGAAAGCGGGGGGCCCTCGAGTGGAAGGGCGCACTGAGACCGCGTGCGCCATATCTTATCCGAGCATGCACGGCCAACATCTTGCTACCTATATGTATATGTATGTAGATATTATATAT